GTGTTGCTCTATTAGTTGAACTTGCCAGCTAGAGATCTGCATGCTTTGTTTCATTATATCATTGAATATACTAAAGTCGATGAAACCATGACTATGTGAGTTAGTTTGTTTCTTTTTAAGGACACTCTAAGTATATACTTTGTTTCTTATATCATTGAAAACACTAAAGTCAATGAAAAATACAAAAAAAAAAAAAAAAACCGTATCCTGAAGATTGATTATGCATGTATGATGTAAAACAACTCTTATCATTGTTCTTCTTAGACATTTTTATATAGATATGACTTTGTTTGCAAATATGTATTTATGTTAGTGTAGTTGGACGTTGTTTGTCATTTTTTAAACTTCATTAGTCAAATACATTAAATACTTTCCTATATTATTCATGGAGAAATTAAATAGTTACTTCAATCCCCAACAACATGAACCATAAAAAAAAGATACATCAATATTTACTACACATATACATGAAAATCAAACTCTCCCGGCCAAGAGGCCGGGCCCTAATCTAGTTTGTTATAATGTGTTTTCTCATTACTCCCAAATAAGGCGGACTCAAGGGGTCGTTTGGATGGATTAATTGTCATGATGTATTTGTAGAGTCAAATAACTCATTAATTATTCATGTGGTATTTCAACACTATTTCATTGATAATTGTATTAAAGTATCTCGTTTGGTAGAACAATCCAAATGTGGTACTTGGCATGTGGTAGTTGGCAAAAGCAGAGTGGTATTTGGAACGTTTTGTGCAACTTTCTGTCGAAGGATTTCCATGAGGTTCACGTGTCTCTTATCAACTAGAGATCACAACTAGTTGGGGCGAACATCTACCCTATATCAATTGCCCATTTCCACGAGTTGATTATGTCTGATTGGTTTCATATACCAATTTCCCTTTGTCACGAGTTGAGATTGTCCGATTGATTCCATATCTATCTTTATTTTCAAGTGCAAGAAAGGAGAAAACATAAAAAAGCTTGAAATGATCATTGAAGCTGCGTACTTTGGTAATATCAAGTGGTATTAGGAGCTCGGTTCAAACGCAGCGGCAAAGAAGGAGTTTTTTTGAAGTTCTTTATGTGTTCTTGAACCTTCTTGGGCGAGTTCTTGAAGATCTTGGACGTGCCTTGAAGGTTTTGGAGGAATCTTGAAGTTTTCGAAGAATCTTGTGGGATTCTTGTGTTTCTTGCGAAAGAATCTTTCGATTTTTGGAAGAAGTTACTTGCTTTCTTGGAGTACAAGCATGGACGATCTAGTGAAGCAACTTACTACACAAATAGAGGCAACTTTTCAAGCCCAAACATCATGGTTGGAAACATGAATGAGAGCGTGATGCAATGATCAAAACAAGATTAGGAACATTTGAAACAAGATTGCAAGCACCCCAACCTCGTGCGCATGAAGAACCTCCAAACTATAACCCTAATCCGAATGTCGAAAGGGTTCGAAGGGAAGAAGAACGGGAAGAAAGGAGGGAGAGGGTTGCACATCAAACTTTGATTGAAAATATAAGGTCATTGAGCTTTGGGAATGCCACGAGCAGCACGGCGAGGACAACCTCGAATCCACGACAAGGAAGAGTCTGATGATGGTGACTATCCTCGTGAATAAGACAATGACATGAGGGGTACCAAAGTCACCATTCCCTCATTTAAAGGCACAACCAATCTGGATGCTTACTTCGATTGGGAGAGGAAGATGAAGTTGATCTTTGACTGCCATAACTACTCCGAGAAGAAGAAGGTTCACTTGGAAGCTTTAGAGTTCTCAGATTATGCCATGGTATGGTGCGATAACCTTTGTACGAAAAGGAGGAGAAATAGGCAGCGACTTATTGAGACATGGGAGGACATGCAAGGCATCATGAGGGGTATATTTGTGCCCAATTACCATCGAAGGGAGATGAACTAAACGCTCCAACTTCTATAACAAGGTACTAAAAGCATAGAAGATTATTACTAAGAGATGAAGATGCTGATGGTTAGAGCAAATATAGAGGAAGATCATGAAGCCACCATTGCACGATTCTTGTAGGGTCTCAATCCAGAGATGAGGAATGTGGTGGAGATCCAACCTTTTGTTGAGTTGGATGATCTAGTAGCAATGGCTGCCAAAGTTGAAAGGCAACAACGAAGCAACATGGAAAGAAGGTTCTTACCTCCCTCAAGTGCACCAAGGCCAGAAGTTCCTACTACTTCAAACCCTAGGCCAACCATATCGAAGCCAGAAGCACCAAAATTGTCAGCCAAGGTTGAAACACCAAGAGATAGACCCGCAAGCATTAGTGTAGGCATTCAATGCTTCAAGTGTCATGGAAGAGGACATATGACCAACCAACTTCCCAACGAGAGGGCTCTAATCATATTGGAGAATGGAGAATAAATCTTGGAATCTGAAGAGGAGGAGAAGACAAATTCGGATTCTGAAGTTGATTAGTCCATAGAGATGGAGGCACCACCAGGAAGTCTTCTCGTGGTTAGAATAATTCTAAGTGTGCAACCAAAAGAGGTGCTTGAACAACGAGAGAAATTGTTCCATACGAGGTGCATGGTAGATAGGAAGTTGATCTCAATGGTGATTGATGGTGGAAGTTCCACACTAACATTGTAAGTGCAAGTGCGGTTAAGAAGTTGGGATTGAGCATGTTGAAGCATCTGAAGCCATATACGCTTCAATGGCTCAATGATCATGGAGCCATCAAAGTAAAAAAATAATCCCTATTGAAGTTTGAGATTGGAGGATACAAAAACGAGATCCTTTGTGACATAGTGCCTATGAAAGGAGCACATGTCTTGCTTGTAAGGCCATGACATTTTGATCGAAGTGCACATCATGATGGAGTCACCAACAAATACAGATTGTCGCATGGTGGGAAGAAGTTCATGTTGAAGCCCCTATCTCCCAAGGAAGTATATGAAGACCAACTTCAAATGCAACGAAATAGGGAGAAGAAGAAGCATAAGTAGTCTCAAGTCATGAACAAGAGTGATCGAGGAGGATCTAGTGCGGTGGATTCCAAGTCATTGATGATAGCAAGAAGTGGCGATGTGAAGCAAGTAGTGAATGATCGTGAATCCATGATCATGATCATATACAATGGCGTGCTACTCAATCGAGAGTTTATTCAAGATATACCACCTAGGGCACGAGTGGTATTGGAAGAATTAGGCGACATGGAGAACTTGTGTGTTAAATGTGTGGAGTGCAAGCAAGCAATGTTGAAGGTACAATCATCTGGATTGTACAAGTGATAACACCCAAAAAGGTGTTATTTAGCATTTATTTATTAGGCGTTTTATTGTCAATTTGAGCATGATTCGATTTATAAAACACAATTTGTAGCCTAGATCGCTTCCATTTGTCATATCAAGTTATTCTAGGTTGCTTTGATGTTACAAGCGAAAAAGTAGGAAGAAATTTTTTTAAGGGTTTTTATACCTAACTCATCCTTCATCATGTTGTTCTTCTCCTCCCTAGTCGCCGGTCAATAGATCCGACCGCATCAATGCTAATCAACCAAAAAGAATTGGGATCTGGCTTTCCAAGCGACGACGACAGATGCGATAAATGATTATGCAATGATTACGACGATGAGAGAGATGGGAGAGATGGTTGCAAGAAGAATAAGAGCTCCGACGAATCCGCTTTAGCCCTGACGCCCAGCTTCAGGCCCAACGAATCCGCTTCAGCTCCGACGCCCAACTTCCTCCCTCTTTGGATTTCCACCCCTTCAATGGCGGTTCCCACAAAAACACCTAAACCCACAAAACAAATCTCCCAGAACCCTTCTTTTCTATTTCAGTAGACCAAGAAAAACCCCAAACCCAAATCTCAGTCGAGATTGTACAGAGAGTAACTCCATCTTCGTCGGTGAGGGGGAGAGAAGAAGAATACGAGTAATTGGGGGCAAATAAAAGCGATTTCCTGACTTCTACCCAACTCGTCTGCGACTGGTCCATGTTCTGCTGCTTTTAGATTCGTCGTTCTTGTTCGTCTGGCACTGGTCCCCTCACTTGCGGCGAACCTCAAAATCGGGGATGAGAGAGAAGTGGGTGGGGATGGCTGAAGATGGTGTGGCAGTGAAGTCGGAGCTGGTGCTGGTGGAGGCAGAGACGATTAATGGTTGCAGAAGCAGAGATGATTTTGGACGAAAGGCGACGGAGGTTGTGGTCGTGGGATTTGTCGGCGGAGAAGAGCTTTTCCGCCTCTTTGTCGTAATAGGGAGAATGGGAAAGTGAGAAGGGACTGGTCGCTTCCTTATAAAACTCCTTAATTTTGTTTTTGGTTTTTTGTTTTTGTTAATCCACGTGTGTAATACGTACAGGACAAAAATTGCCAGCTCAGACGATTTGTTAGTCCAGTCAGCACGTTAACTCACACCGTCAAAGAATTGGATGGAAGTGGCTATTTTTGGTATTTCACCAAAAGTGGTTATATTTGGCCAAATCGTCAAAGTTTTGGCTAAACAAGTATATTTTACCTTAATAAAATTATATAGTGGAGAGTAGAGGTGGCAATTAGGATCCAAATCCATGAATTCAATTCAATCCATCCACCAAATTATCCACTTAATCCAATCCATTTGATCCAAATCCAATTGGATTGGTGGATTCATGGATCAATCCATGGATCCAAATGGCAAATTACGATTTGGTACCTATATTTTTTATATTATACATTTTGGTACCTAAAATTTATATTTTTATACGAAAAATATTATTGGAAAATTACGTTTTGGTACCTAAAATTTTTCATTATGACATTTTAGTACCTAAACTTTTCAAATTTTACATTTTGGTCCAAACCTTGGATGTCATTTGGATTCATGGATCAATCCACCAATCCATTTGATCCAATCCATGAATCCACCAATCAATTGGAGCCAATCCATTTGATACATGGATCCACCAATCCAATTCACGAACCAGGAGAGACATTATACCTATAATCGTTTAAGTCACTTTTTGTCCGCTTATCCCTAAAATATCCCCGCCATTTTATTGTCAATTTTTTTTCTGGAGCGACGGACGACCAAGAACCGCAGTCCAACTCTTCAACCGACGAACGGCCAGGTAAGAGGGAAGAGGGAGGACGAGCCCAGCCCCGCGACGGTCGCCTGCAAGGACATCGGCGAGAGAGTTCCAGGTTAGTTTGCTTGTCTTGTGATGGGGATTAATGGGGTTTAGCTTTCTAATTTTCGGGATGGTTATGGCCTGATTACCAGGGTTTTGGGGTTTGCGTTCTTTCTCTATGAGGTTGCAGAATTATGGCTTTAGGAATTTCGTAGGCTGCGGGTTTGGAATTTTGCTTCCGATGAGTGCCCTGTGTGTGTGAATTTTTGGTTTTCCCTTGGTTCTGATGAGTGCCATGTGTATGTGAATGGATGTAATATGTTATCTGGTCTTTGCTTCACGTTTTGGCGTGCTTTGTGTAACGGATTTTTGGGTTTTTATTCTTCTTTGTGGTTGCAATCAAGGCTGGTTAGATAGGTACCTGATTAGATTAATATTCTGCAAATGTTTGATAACTTGTATGTATTGTATACAATGGTTGCTTTCAAGGCTCGTTAGATTAATAAAATTGAAGTTTTATGCATTTGAAAAAGGCTGTCAAGGCTGTCATTGATGTCTTCAAGGGAAAGGCGCAAGATGATCGCTGCAATTGGCACATTTTGGAACCTTATAGTAATATATGGTGAGTTAGGAATGGAAGTAACGAGGCTATTAGAAGCCGAAACAGTTAAACTGTAGAATTGGTAGGTAACCTCTGGATGGTTACATAGTGAGACACTATGATACGCAGAAGGAGATTCATCTGCACGAGAGGTAGTGACACTGAGAGTCATAGAAGGATTAGGATGAACTGTAGCTTATTCAAGAAGTTGTGACCTATTAGTTGTAGAGGGTCAGTTGAAAAGGATGAGAATTGTTGACAGATGAAATGGTTCTCACTTTTCTACTCATTATTGCCCATAACGACAAAAATAGAAGTATAGCTGTAGATTTGCGTACCTAGTGAGACCAACAAGCAGTGCAACATGAAACGTACATATAGAGAGACGGCTTGTTGAAACGATGTGCCCAATCGGTTTCACCCAAATTGAACTTGTTCAAGTAGTGGCTTTAACCTAGAGCTAGTTTGAGAGATTCTGCTGCCTTTGCTTTCCTGTAATTTCCTTCATCTAGATGCTTGCTGCATTGTAGGAAAATGGTGGGACTTTCGCTGGGGGAGAAGCATTTCATTAAGGGGGGCATCGATCAGAACATCCGTAGTGATGGCCGGAAGAGAGACTATTACAGGCCGATTTTTGTCGAAACTGGTGTAATTCCTCAGGTAATAGCTTAAATGTAGCTTCATGGATTTTTTAATATATATTTGATCTTCCCCTTTTGTCGAAGTTTGATCTTGTTTTGATTTATTGATAGGCAAATGGCTCTGCTCGTGTTCGAATGGGGGCAACTGAAGTTATTGCCAGTGTGAAGGTAGTTCAAAAACAGGGTTCTTTCTTAGGTTTACCCCGTTCTTCCTTGTTTTCAGTCTGATTTAAGGTTTGAGTGATTACTATTATGCAGGCAGAGCTCGGAAAGCCAAGTGCTTTGCACCCTGACAAAGGCAAAGTCGCCATATTCGTTGATTGTAGTGCTGTTGCTGAACCGACATTCGAGGTTTTCTATTTCAGCTCTTGGCATTTCTTATTCTTCAGTACTTCAATGTCGTTTCAAGAGTTGATTCATTTGTGCAAGTGTAATCCAGGGAAGAGGGGGCGAGGAGTTATCGGCTGAACTCTCTGTTGCCCTTGAGCGCTGCCTCTTAGGTGGCACAAGTGGGACAGGTTTTTGCTCTTACTGAAGTCATAGGCTGATTTGTAATTTTAATGGCACTACTCCATAGATTGTTGATCATCCAAGTGGGTTGATCTTGTTGCAGGTGCAGGAATCGATTTGACTTCCTTGATTGTAGCAGAAGGAAAGATTTGTTGGGATCTGTATATCGACAGCCTTGTCATTAGTTCTGATGGGAATCTACTTGATGCCTTAGGTGCTTCCATTAAGGTACCCTATGATGATCCACTAGATGCTTGATGTTGTTTTTCATTCTAGTTTGATAGCTCAAAGTTGATGAATCAACCTCAAGCAAGTTAATAAATCGGTTATAGACTTATAGTTAGCAGTCTAGCCTGTTTAGGTTCCATATTCTATACATATTGGATGGAGACCTTTACGGATAAGTTTTTAAAGATTTCAATGGTTGAAGGGCATGTGAGTACAGGTTTTTTCTTATGGCATGAGTTCAGCTTTTTAGTGCAGGGTCGCATTTCATCTATTTTCCGTGTAGTCGAGTGACATAAAATAAGTCACTAATACGTAAATAAATAAGTTGGTGACTTATTTGAATGCTCTTGTGATGGTTTTCTTATAAAACTCCCTAAGGCCGCCTTGGCTAATACCGCCATCCCGAAAGTCAACATCTCAGCTGCTGCATCAGCAGATGAACAGCCGGAGGTGGACATAAGCGACGAAGAGTTTCTACAATTTGATACTTCTGCAGTCCCTGTAATAATCACGCTAACACAGGTAATGATGTATTTTCTGATTCGTTTAGTCTGCAATATTGAATCACTTTTTTATGTTCTAACTCAAACTTTGACTCTATTTTAGGTAGGGAGGCACTATATTGTGGACGCAACATCAGAGGAGGAATCCCACATGAGCTCTGCGGTTTCCATTTCCGTCAATCGTAAAGGGCACATTTGCGGGTTGACCAAGCGAGGAGGTGAAGGCCTTGATCCCAGCGTTGTTTCTGATATGATTTCGGTTGCTCAACACTTGAGCGAACTGCTGATGAGCAGATTGGATTCTGAAATCTCAGCAGCAGAGGCCGAAATTGGAGACGACGAAGAATCGTGATGCTGACGAGACTTTCGAGAACCAGTTTTGACTTTTAGTTATCTAATGATCATTTTTAAGATTGCTGTACTTCTGATAACTTACTTGCTAGCAAATGTCAGATTGTTATGGCTTACGGTGATCGACGATTACTGCAGGTCGGGCGTTTTTGTTGTATTTGAAAATGAGGGCTTTGGCTTTGGAGAAAAACATTTGGATTTTTATGGATTTATTGATTATAGATTTAAAGAGTTTATTGTTTGCAACTTTGCTGAAATTATATATTTATGATGAATTTGTTGCGAACATTTATTGCCATGATAGATTTTCTGTCCTTCTACCAAATTCCAACATATGTAGAGTACACTGTATGAATTTGATAAAAAAAGATTGAATCTGTGGTCGGATGTGACATAAGGATTGTGAAATTGTGTTGGTTGGATGTAACATAAGAATTGTGAAATTGTGTAGGAAATTATATCGGAAAAGTTAGTGATAGAATATTTTGCTATAAAATTGTTGTTAGTTAAACTGTTTTTTATGGAAAAATTGTCCATTTTGGTCCAGCGTCTGATCACATTCATCCGTGCAGATTATTGTCAGTGGTTAGCACATGTCAACAACTACCTTATCTCAAGCCAAGTTTAATCTAAAATGACGTTGTCGTATAGTGACAATCAATGTCGTATTCACTCGGTTCCTGATACCCTAGCCTACTTCCCACGTTATTGTTATCTAGCCGATCGGTTTAAGGGGTTTGTGTTGGAGGATATGAGCGAACTAACTAGTCTAGAGATCAAATAAAGATAAAAGCAGGTACTTCGGCGAACTATCCCTCACCTTAACCTTGGACTACTATGAAATGTCTAGATACTTATGTTTTGTCGAATGTGGTGAGTGAGCTATTTTCCGTAGGCTTTCGTAGGGGTGTTCAAACGGTGTGGTTACCGTGGTAACCGTTCTAACCGGTAGTATTTGGATAATTTGGATAATTGGTTTGGTTTGGTTAAACTTTTTAGTTTTGGTTTAAGTGGTTTGGTTTGGTTTCGGACACTTCTAACCAATCAAACCAAATTAAATAGTTAAGTAATTACCTATATATCTAATATATATATGGTAATGACTGGTGTACGTCAGGCGTATAGTATACAACAGGTGATCTAGCCGTCAGATGTACTTAGATGAGCTTCGGCCGATCTCAACGGTCAGTTTTTGTTTTTCATTAAATCAAACTTCGGGTTGGGGTTTAGAAAATCGGTGCCTGGGGTTTATCCATTAGAGGTTAGGGTATAGTATCATACCCCGACTCGATTTAATTCATGGTCTAGATAGAGATATCTCACTAGTAGTACCTGACGTATAGTATACGCCTGACGTACACCAGTCTGACTCTATATATATATATATATATATATATATATATATATATATATATATATATATATATATATATAATGCTTTGCATATAACCACTGAATAGTCAAATGTAAGATGATTGTATTAGTTACATGTATTTATGTTAAGAACTAACTATAATTTTGTGTTGATTGTTATATGTTATTCATTATATAAACTGCAAATTAATGCACTAACCGAAAATTTTCTCACTTAGTGATAATGAGATGGTATATTGGTTTGGTTAACCAATTAACCAAACTGATTTAGCTTTAGTTTGGTTAATTTGGTTGTTGTATTGGTTTGGACGGTTTGGTTATGATATTGTATTGCATGGTTAATAGAATTTAGGCTTATTTGATTTGGTAATTACCATGGTAACCATTTGAACACCCCTAGGCTTTCGTGGTTATCCACACTCCTCTGAGTAAGCCTCCCCTAAATTCATGTAAGTCACCTCGATCTAGATTATCGTATCTGGGACATTAAAAACATAGCTCCTTTCAATGAGTACTACTCACCGTCCACACTGAGATTTCATCCCGGGTTCTATCTAGAAAGGCATTCCTATGGCAGAGGTTCGGTCGCCTTGTCCACCATAGGATCCTATTCATACATCTAACCTCAATTTTCTTGATGGCGCATACCTATCTAACCCTAAAACTCCATACCCAGAGTAAAAGCTAAAGTAGGTTAGTAGAGAAGATTAGGGCGACTTACCCAAACAAAATCAAAGCTAGAAAAGCATTAAAATCAACTAGATAAACACATTCATTCATTTAAACCCTAAAACTAGGGTTTGGAGTTTTGAACCCCTAGTATCTTATAGGACTACTACATAAAGGAGGGAAAAACATATATAGAAGAGGTGGAAGATTAATGTTGAAGAAGATGGCTCATCTCTTCTAAATTCTTCTTTTTCTTATCCTCTTCTCCCTCCTTCCGCTTCTCTCTCTTCTCTCTCGAAAATCAGAAATTATATCTCAAAATTAGCTCTCTTGAATGTGGAAAAGGGTCTTCTATTTATAGGTATCAGAGAACGGAGAAGTTTGCGGCCAGGAAGGGCAGAGATCGCGGGCGCAATCTTCTTCATGGAGGCTGCGATCTTGCAACGTTGCCGTTTTAGCCTTCGGAGACGAGGAGTTCGCGGGCTGACTTCGTGGTCGCGATCCACGAGTCGCGATCGCGAACTTCGTCGCAGACTTTTTGCACTATGGTCATGCTCTGACGAGGGAAACTCTATGTTTCTCCTCGGCTGCTTCTCCACGAAGTTCGTGCCATGAGCCTTCAGATTTGCGGCCGCGATGTTGGGCTTCCAGGCCTATATCTTCGCCCTGATTTCGCAGGCTATGATCTTGGTTGTGATCTCCATATCCAGTTCGCGATCTTCAGTCTTATGCCCCTTTTTGCTACACTTGTGTCCTTTTTTGTACCTAATTCGCATGTATTATCCAAAGCACCTTAAAATCACTTCGAAATCAAATAGGAACGAAATAGGGATGCAATTGACGTTGTTCAAACAATTATGCACATGAATTAGCATGAAACAAACCTTAATATGAAGAGTAAATAACACCAATTTAGGTGTTATCAAACTCCCCCAAATTTAGGGGTTTGCTTGTCCCCAAGCAAACCTACTCAAACCAATGAAACTTGATAAACAAATTAAGGTGGGCGCACTCTAGTTCTTCATTGCATTAAGAAGAGTAGACGGAGACGAGAAAACGTTACTATCATCTTACTGTGCAAGCACAAACTCTCGGGTGAGGACCATACTTACTACCTTAGGCCAGACATTCAAATTGTGCACCGGGGGATTTCTTAAACAACAAATAAGCACAAGAACTCTTGAAGGTGCTCTTTATTCTCTTTTTTGATTTAGGAGTTGTCGTTTATTGGTCTCCTTTTTTTATGTTGACGCACATAGCACCAAACTTTTGCAAATACTTTTGCAAACAAGCATCTCTCCCTCATGCAACCAAGAGCGAATGAATCATAACCTTCTCTTTCAAGGTCACATGTGGGAAAGTTGATGGACGGATTCATCTTAGCCCAAGCACAACTTCCCAGCTTGCACTCCACATTGGGTTGCCACACATGTCGGGTACAAACGACAGCTTTGAGATCTCATGAATTGCTAAAAAGTACTTTTTACTTTGGCATACGATTCCGTGAGGAGGAAAGATGTTTGGGGGATGGTAAGTAGTAATAGATGGTCGGTACGCGGTAAAGCTATCCGATCCCCAAACATATCATTAAAGGGCACTCCGAATCCGTGAGGGTTGGTTGCCTCTCACGTGAGAACCTCATTTTAAAAAGATTTTTCTCTCTTTTCTTTCTTTTCCAATACGCTCAAATTTGTAAAAGCTTTGAGTTCAACAACAACTATAGAGAATCCCGCACACATGTTCTTCCTAAAATAGCAAACACTATCAAATCACAAAAGAGGAAGAAGATAGTAAAATCCCTCGTAAACCGGTACCCTAATCATGCAACTATCTCCTAGCGAGCATAACACATCAATCATCTATCAATTCAAAGCAGATTAAATAGGGAGTTGCAAGGAACAAGGTGATTTGGAACCCTCATTCATAAGGGAGGATACTAGTAATTCATGGTTCAATCATCTATCAATTCATACACTCCCATGTGCATTTATCAATGTCTTACATTCATAAGGGAGGATACTAGTAATTCATGGTTCAATCAATCATGATAATCATTCAAACATTCACCTCCCCCCCCCCCCCCCCCACTTGATAAACATTGTCCTCAATGTGGGAGTCCATAGGTTGGGTTGTGGGTTGGTGAAGGTACATAAGTGTATGTCTTTGTCTTCCTGGTGGTTTCACAATGATAAAGCACATAAGAAAGAGATGAAGACGATTAAAATTATAGGTACGATGGATATATAATATAAGTACAAATACTACTAGTGCTAGAATATTCAAAGTACGAAAACTAAAACTAAAATAAAGCAATAATGAAACATTGTTTTAATTGAAAGAAAAGAGAAGCAAAGAAAAAGAAAAGATAGAACTTAGGCCCTAGATGCCTAGTACTCAATCCTCCTCAGAGGATCCTTCGTCTTCGTCTTCTTCTTCTTCTTCTTCTTCTTCTTCTTCTTCTTCTTCTTCTTCTTCTTCTTAGGGTGGTGCAAGGGGAGTGGAGAGATCAAGTTTGGGCGATACATCTTAAATCGAAATTTCCATCTTCTTCATAATAGCATGGATGCATGCCATGATGTGGAGCCACGCTTCCTTCTCCCTCCTTTGATTGTGAAGGATCACCGCTATCATTGCTTTGAATCGGTAGTCCCTGGCATTGTTGAGTGGTGGGGGAACCGGTTGAGAAGTGGGTAGAGGCACCTCTCATCCCTCATATATGCTCTCCACTTGATCTTCCTCGGTTGCAAGTCCTTTTCGTTCTCTTGCCACCTTAGCTTCCGGAAGACAGAAGACGGTACCCTCCATGTCCAACATGTTAGTGGTTGGAAATGGAAGTCCCTATACTCTCCAAATGCCATCGTCATTCGTATGTAGAACTTTGATTTTCGACTTCAAAACTTCAAAGGATATATGAGTGGTCCTACTATCCAACCGAAATTGCACGGCCCCAAAGTCGATGGTTCATTTCATAAAGCTTGAGATTGACAAGATAGCCAAACCGAGATGAAGAGATCGAGGTAGTTGCATACTGGCTCGCTCCTACCGTCACTCTAGAAAATGGCCAAGTGTAACCCCCTCCTAAAGCGTAGTATAGCGGGTTTGGGTTTTTAATGTCAACCCGGGTCCTAGATGCGATGACTACTCCGTGAGTTCTTATTATTTAGCAGTGACACTTTAGTGAAGGTCCAAACAAGCAAACAAGCAAAGCAAGTAAAAAGGTTGTTTTCAAGTTGAGAGAGGTCACCCGGATATGGTTCCCCCTAGACTGCAGTTAAGCCGGATTGTAATTTACCAAGTTCAATTCCAATGATAGTTATACTGCGGGAGATTCTTAAACAGTCTGAAGTCTCGACTAAAGGTCT